ACAGAGTATTATTTTTTGGAATGAAAAACATGCCCGGTAAGAACAATGTGACCCTAAAGTATTTCATTCTATTATTTTCTTCCATTTTTTTTCTTTCAGAAGATTTAGGGGTGTGAATATTTTTGATAATCTTTTTTGAGCAAATGTTTTATATTTGATACATTCTCATATAAAATAATTTTGTTTTGAATTTTTTTTCTATTTTATTTGTCAATTAGTTTTTTGATTTAGTTTAGTTATTGTATGTTTTTACATTATATTCTGTTTTAGTTTGTTTTGTATCAGAGTTTTCTAGTTTACATTTAGTTTTTTGTGTTCATATTTTTGATGCAATTGTTGTGAGCAGATGGTTTAGACTTATATTGTATACGTTCTCATAATTTTTTGTTTGTTTTCTACTTCGTTTTTTTTAATTTAGTTGTTATTGTTAGTTTTTTTTTAATTATGTAGTTTTATTTTTTTAATTTCCATTTTTATCAGTTTAGCTATTGTTAGTTTTTCAGTGCAGTTGGGTTTTACTAAAACTACAATTTTACATTTTGACAAATTCGTTTTTTTTAAAAAATCATTAATTTGTGGGGATTTTATTTTAATATTAGTTAATTTTTTGGTCATGAAAATGTATTTTTAGCTTAGTGTCAGTTTATACCAGTTATGTTCACAGCTGAGGGTGAGTGATGTCTGGACTAGGAAAATGAGGAAACATGATGATGGTAAAGGCAGATGAACGCAAAAATGCTCTGGGGAAATATGTTCAAATGTGTTTATTGATCAATGAAATGGATCGTCAACAGATACATCACAAATACAGGGATACAGACAGAATGAAAAAAAGTATAAACATGTTTTTCCGACTTTGTTTCCTTCATTTGGAATCGTTTAACATAATCAGAATGGCAAGATGATAAACAGGATGATGAGAATGATTGAGAATAGCACAGATGCTGATGAGTTTGAGGAATTGAGATCATGATATCATGTCGCAAAGCAAACAGAAAACCACGTCCTTTCTAAAGTTACAGAAACTGTAAACATGAATCAGGGTCTAGCACCAACATGTAGCCGATGGGCGGCACAACCTTTGACACCTGACTTAGCTTAAGGCCTTCACAGAACACACAGGAAATATATACGCAAGCCTTACTTCCACTCCATGCACCATCGCGGCTAGTGCTACATGAGCGCAAATACATCATTCCTGCACGAACCATAGTCAAATCAAGTGTAAATCCATAAGGTCTAAAATAATAACAGCACCAAAAGATTACAGGATGACGCTCACCAGTGTAGGTCCAGTTAGCACCACATGTTCTGTCAGCTAGACAGAAAACTTTCAGAGAGAGAGAGAGAGAGAGAGAGAGAGAGAGAGAGAGAGAGAGAGAGAGAGAGAGAGAGAGAGAGAGAGAGAGAGAGAGAGAGAGAGAGAGAGAGAGAGAGAGAGAGAGAGAGAGAGAGAGAGAGAGAGCAGACTTACTGTTCTTACACCAAACACACAGAACCACAGATTAGCTTCTTAGCAAACACACACACGCTGCACGCGCGCCTGTTGGACATTTCTCACAAAGGATGGTCAACTAGTCGACTAGACATGCAAAAACGACTTTAATTGGTTCAAATTATGAGTTTAATCAGACAGTGTAATATTTAATAAAAATATTAATTTACAGACGCAGGCGGTTTTAGCACACTGAGCTTTAGCATGGTAACTCATTTCGATTTTCAACATGCTAAAACGTAGCTTCCAACAAAAAACAAATTCACCACCTTCTACAATAAAATTCAAGAAAATGATTGTCAGATGAATATATATTTTACTAATATAATATGATTGTTAATATTGTATTTTTTAAAATATATTTTATGCACACTACCATTTAAAAATTGAGGGTCAGGAAGACATTTTTTCTATCAAAGAAATGCATAATTCAGCAAGGACAGACTTTTTTTTAATCATTTTATCATTTGAAGATATTTATAATGTTCTAAAAATATTATGGTTTGCAGATATTAATGAGCAGAAATGCTTTCAACATTGATAATAATATGAAATGTTTATTGTGCAGCAAATTCGCATATTAGAATGATTTCTGTAGGATCATGTGACACTGAAGACTGGAGTAATGATGCTGAAAATTCAGCAAAGGAATAAATGACATTTTAAAATATATTCAAATAGAATTTTTTTTATTATTGTAATAATATTTATGATTTTTATTGTTTTTAATAATCAAATAAATGTAGCCTTGGTGAGCATAAGAGTCTTCTTTTAAAAATATAGTAAAAAAATCTTACCAACCCCTAACTTTTAAATTGTAGTCTACGTGCAAATTTTTTTTGCCTTGCCTTACATCTCGCCGTTTTTCTGTCATTAGGTTTTAATGTGGCATGTCATGTTAAAACTTTGAAAAATTAATTTAGAGATCCCTGCATTGTTCCTGTTGCGCTCCATCTAGCCATTTTTGAATGGAAGAACGCATCCCATGTGAAAGCCTCGCATTAAGACACACATCTGATTGATGTCTAGTGGACATAACCCCTAATCCTAGCTAACCAGTCGACTAGTCATTCAGACGACCCACAAATATCATGATTTTGAAAATATGTAGTTTTGCACATCAACATTGGTGGTCGGTTCAGAGTGATTAAACTGTTTAAAAAGCAGTCAAAGTTTTCCACAGGCAGTAATTCAGGTCATTTACTGCTTTAATCTCTGATCTTAGCCATTATGCTCGCAGTAACCATGTCCACAATGATCTTGCTGAGCTGGATTTGATTTGGAACATAGATGGCAGTTGATGCCCGAGCTGAACTCATCCGCCATGCGCATGGGCCGTGTCTGTCTCTGTTTACTTTTGCACTTGGCGAGTTCTGAATGCCTCTGCTCACCGCCGTCTCATATTTTATGCTCTGATTCTTATCATACTAGCTAAATATAACCACAGGATACACACCACCACCACGATACTCGATTTTTGTATTATTTAACGATTGCCTTTTCCTCTCAAGTTGTTCAAGGCAGACTTTTGTTTGATCGGCTGGGATTCTGGGAAATGTTCAGATGCGATCATGCATATCTCACACACACACACACACACACACACACACACACACACACACACACACACACACACACACACACACACACACACACACACACACACACACACACACACACACACACACACACACACACACACACAGTAAGACACAGAGAAGATAGAACCCTTACAAAAAAGTACTGTAGTGGTACTATGGTATCAGACGGTAATATTATGGTCATTTTGAAATATACTATGGTACTGGATTTTGTGTATCATTGTATTTGCATGGTACTTACAAGAATATCATGGTACTACTACCATAATACATATCTAAAATACCATGGTACACGTTCAGAATACCATGATACTACCATGATTAAATGCCATGGTAGTACCATGGTATGTATTAAAAGTACCATGTCAAATGTCCAGGAGGCCATGCATGGTACCATGCACAAAAAAACAGGGTAGTACCATGGTCAAATTTTTTAAATATAGTAGTGCCATGTCCAAAATACCATCTTATGTATAATGTCTAAAATTCCATAGTAGTACAATGGTAAAATGTTCAAAATACCATAGTAGTACCATGGTACCATGTCCAAAATACCGTAGTAGATACCATAGTAGTAGTATGATGGGACCATGATCAAATGTCATGGTAAAATGTCCAAAATACCATGGTAGTATCATGGCACCGTGATCAAATGTCTTGGCACAATGTGCAAAATACCACGGTATTATCTCATTTCATGGTACTTATGCTCAAAATACCATGGTACATTTTTGTAAGTGAAAGAAAGGAACTGCGACAGTACCATGGCAACACCATAGTGCTTTGATACTGAAATATCACCATACTAAAATCCTATGGTATTACCATGATATTTATGTAAGTTTAGAGAGTGGATGTTTATATATTCCCAGACTTAAAATATATGTAAAGTAAATGTGAACAAATCGCTAAAAGGCATTTTAATCATATACTGATTAATTTATTAAGTCCGTCAGGACGGTTTGTCCCAAACCGAGTCATGAAGTACATGAACTTGAAGAATGTCCCATGTTTTTCCTTTTTTTTCTTATTAAAACAATGAAAAAGGAAAAAAAAGAAAAAAAAAGAAGAAAATCTAGCATTGATACAGACACACATTCAAACACTGCTTGCCAGAAACACGCACATAGTTTCCTTTAGATCGCGTACGTTTTCTCTCGCATCTAAAGGAAACGTTCCGGATGACAGCTTAGCACTTTAAGTACCACTTTAAAGTTGAGGTTGAGACCATTTGGTTTGTTCAAATGTACCAAACAAACAAACAAACATATAAAATGTTAACGCAAGCAAATAACTGTATGTTCAAACATCCGTTCGATGCGAAGGACCGATCTAGAGTCAGACTGCAAAACGTGAACCGAACTGAGAGTTCTGACTCCGAGCCCCGATCCCATCGCAGAAACTTTCCGATCACAAGCGATGGTGAAACGTTACATGATATATATCCTTGATTTTCTTCTCGGTTGATAATAAAGACACAGGACTGGATGTGAATGCTTGCATACACTTTTGAATCAAGCGCTGTCCTGAGTTGCTCTGGTGGTTCTGGTTCATACTTCAAGGTTCTAGGATCCCATCCAGACCTAAAAACAAGGCAGTCCGAAAGGAAATTACATGCTTGAACAGCAACCTTTCAAAAAAAAAAAAAAAAATGGGAAGATACGAATTCTCAAATCTGTGTCCGTGCAAAACACGACCGAACGAGTGAGCGTTAAGCACGATAACGGTTCAAGCACTTCCTTTGCGGTTGCAATTCCACCGTCGAAACGGAAAAAAGCTGAATAAAATATTGGTCGTTGCAGTGGCTTGGTCTTCCCTCTGTTTTGACTGATATGCTTCATGTTAGGCAGAGGTTAAGGAGTCCCGTCTCGGCTCCAGGCGACCCTGCAGAAAAATCTCTGATCTCAAAGGGAGCAAAGCAATACTGCACTGCCTTTCCGACAGACGAACATAAGCGGTGCTCGAAAAACAAACGAATAAACTAAAACAAAAGCAAACAACACAATCCATAATTAAGGCTGTTAAAAAATATTGCAGAATATTTTGGCCCCTGTTTTGAGACAGACTGCCACAACAGTCAAAAGTTCCCCCACTACATATCACTGCAAAATAAAGAGCAGGAAGGGAAAAAAAAGATGTATAGAAAAGAAAAAAAAGATCCTCTTTGGAGAGATTTATTTGGTTTGGGAGTGCTTTAAAGGGAATCGTAAATATCTCTGAAAATAAAACCGAAGCAAAAATCGGCTCCTGCGACAACGTTTTCGTCATTTTTTTTTTCAACGTGCACTTGTAAAACCTAAACGTATAGCAATCAGCGATTTCCACGTGGAACAGTGGCACTGGACGTCGCAATGCACCGTGGGATCCTTGCAGTCCTACAGCGGGTGCACCGGGGCCAATGAGAGAAGAGAAGGGGGTTTTAGGAGAAATGCGCCCCTCATCTCCTGGAGAGGGGGAGTCAAAGCAAAGGCCCTCGCTGTTCTCCTTGAGCGAGACGCAGGTCGAGAGCCAAAGTCCGCAAGTTTGGGGTGTTACGCCACTGTGTCTTGTGGCTGTCAGACTCACACCCACTCCTGCATGGAGCGTTTACAGTACAGTATGTGGCGGGGCGTCCCCTTCCTCTTGAACTGAAAGACGGTGTAGATCAACACCAGCAGGCAGAGCGCCAGGACGCAGGGAATGACGATGGCGATGGCTTTAACCGTGCTGGCTTCACTGTCCAGTTTAATCACGACGTCCTCGTCATCCGTCGGCTGCAGGTCGGGGTCGATGGGCGTGAGGTCGCATCCCATGAAGTCTTTCAGGATAGAGCGAGGGTAGCCCGGCTCCACCCGCAGCCTGTGGTTGTTGAACTTCCAGTATTCTTTACCCTTGTAGAAGTACGTGAAACCTGCAAAGCATCGACATTTGTTAGATGGTATTATATTTATATTGGATATTTAATTCCTGTCCATTTCCATCTACTTTTACATTTTTTACGAAGTTTGCCGACATGTAAATGTAATTTCTAGCAAATCTCAAATTGAATATCTGTTTTTCATAAATAATATTGTGATGCCTAAATTCACTTGTAGTATTGAAATGTATTGATTTGTTGTATATATATTTAATATATATATATATATATATATATAAAGAGAGAGAGAGAGATTTTTATTAGTGCTGTCATTTAACACAAATGTTTGTTTATATAATATATGTGTGTGTGTGTACATGTGTATATATACACATACACACACCCATGCATATATACATATAACATAACACACACACACATATATTATATAAACATACTTTTATGTCAGATGTGTTTAATCGTAATTAATCGATTGGACAACACAAATTTTAGTATAATTTAATTTTATATTTTTATTTCATATTTAGTTTATTTATTTTTTTATTATTTGATTTTTGATTGAATACATTGATTTTGGTTTCGTTAGTTATTGTAAAATCTAAAAATATTAAGGTTTTATTTAGATTTTTTTTTAAAAAAATATATCAATAATTTTATATAATAGTTTATAATTCTATATATTTTTTAGATATTAGATTTTTTATTTAAAAAAAATTGTTTAGTTCATTTTTCATATTTAGCATATAGCATTTTCACTTTCCTCTCAAAAGTTGATAAACCTATTCATTTTGCTACCATTACGATACACGATTTATTTAATTGAATGTAATTACATTTTTTCCAAAACCCCAAGTTCAGGTCTGCTGGAATAGACGTTGAGCCATGGTGCACCTGTGGGTGATGCAAGTTCCAACCTGACATTTATCCTGATCCCATATCTCCCCAATAATTTCCTGTCGCTCTTCCACTAAATCTGTTTAATAAAGATTCTAAATCCTTGACATAAAAATGTTCCACACTGGAACTGGGGCTCAGTGTGATTTGAAAGACACTGAACCAAAGAGAAAGGCTTATCGTAAGACCACTGTGTTATCGTAAAATCTATACTTGCAATAAAACAGGACTGGAGCTGAAGATAAAAAAAAAAAAGCTGTCCTTTCCGATCTCCCCATGATCGGCTGGCCATGATGACGCATAATTAGGGTCAATTTTCTCTACTCTGTCTCGCCCACAGAGGCCTTTTGGGTAACGTGCAGAGACAGGGCTGAAAGAAAGCCCACAATCACTTTCAAAGTGTGGTTAGCCAAACAATTTCCCTGGAATATCAATCCACCCTTCACGCTCAGATGATCGCCTGCGTCCACGGGCAAACCTGGCACCGAGGCTGGGTACAGATGGCATGTGTGTGGCTGTCGACCTGCGGGCCTGCAGCTATGGACTGAACTCATGCAAGACGAGAACTCATACAGAGATTCACACTTGTCCTGAAATGCACAACTCTTCATAACTCGTTCTTGTACAGAATGAATATAGGGCATTGTAAATGAGAATTAAACTGCTTCACAATAGACTTCTGTATCATATGCAGTACAATATCAGATGCTGTGTTGTGTTCTGCATGGGTTGATTGTAGTTTATGCTTTTTTTTACAAACATTTTTAACTTTCTTTAGTGTGTAATGTTGTTGTTTTGCATGAAAAAGGTCTACAAAGAGTTTTCTTCCAGGAACGAACACATCACAATATTCCTCATTTAAATAATTCCCTGGCCAAGGCATACGGAAAAAAAGGGGTGAGGCCTGGTTGAGTTGCTTTAGTAGTGAGTTGAAAGTCGCAGTTATGACAAAGTGGTTGACCAATCACAACACACTGGTCCAGCTGACCAATCAGAGCACATTGTGTTTTTCGGAAGGAGGGGTTTCATAGAGACCAGAACTGAACAGAGCGTTACTGACAGACTGGGAAGACAGGTGTCGCCTGCAACAATGTGAAAATATGTGAAAACTAATGAAAACCTATTCTAGTAGACCCCAAAAACAAATCCAAGACTTAATAGGTCACCTTTCAATTAGTTCCCTCACCAGTCCTTATTTACGTTTGTATGTTTATAATTTTAGTTGGTTTTGGTTATTTTTTATAGCATGTCACTTTCAGATTTTTTCCCTCTGCCATTGCAACTTTTTCTTAACTGTTTTTTTTTTGTCCCAAATTTGGATCGAATCAATATACCTAATTCTTTTTCTGCCATTTTTGCCTTTTTTATTCAGAATATAGTGAAGAAACACCAGGAATTTATGGGAAGATGACGAAGCAATGAGATTGGGAAATGTTGCAAGCCGGATTCAAACTCGTGTCATCTGCATGAGCACCACAACAGTAACCACTAGCTCACATTTCTGACAAGATGCTCAATTTTACTTAGCATATCAAATCATGATCTTATTAAAGGTTTAGTTGACTTAAAATGAATATTTTGTTACCATAGAAGTGGTCCGTATGACTTGTGTATGACATTTTCCATGCATTACATTTGAAAGTAGAACAGGGAATGTTAAATATCACTATGTTCCTCACACAAAGCTTTTTATGTCATTAAAAAACTCAACAGTATCCGTCCTTATGACAAACAGTCATACGAAACAGTGGAACAACAATGAGAGTGAGTAAATGATTTTCATTTTTTTATTGCATTTTCAAGTTTCGCATTGTTAAAATAGCTAACAACTTAAACCTTGATTGAATTGCATTAAAGAATACATTATGAAAGATGAAACATACCGTTAGCTTTGTCCACAAATGCTCCCTGTGGAGAATCTGGAACACCCTTCCATACTGTGATGGACTTGGGATAACCAGGATCCATCGTTCTCATGTCTTCGTTATATCTCCAATACCTGCATATAGGTAAGTAGAGAAAGTTACACACACACACACACTCACACACACATACACAAACACACACACACACGCTGTGCACATACCTATCTCCTTTGAAGAAGTAGGTCTTGGCTACGTCCTCCCACCAGACGGCTGTCTCTATACTCTGAGCTGGCATGCCGTTTCCAAACATTGAGATGTCCTGGGGGTAGCCAGGCTGTAGCATTGTGTCCTTGAACACCCAGAACTGCTTCCCTAGAAAAAGCACAAGAACAAAGGAGAAATCAGGGGATTACAGTGTTCAGCCCAGGGTACATTTTCACCGGGCCAAATGAGAGTGCTCAGTGATTCAGCTCAGTCAAAGGAAGGAAATGTAAATCATAGTTTCTATAAATTCTCTTTGACTTGCTGATTTGTTCAAGTGTTGCTCCACTTACGGCTGAGGGATAAGTTGAATTTGGATTATATATTGATTATAAATACTGGTGATTTTAATGCACTTTTTAGTTATAGGCTATTAAACTATTAGGCTATAGGCTATTAGGCTTTGTTATTGATTGCATTGTGATTCTTCCTGTGACTTTATTATAAGAGTGTTGACAAAAATAGCGTTATTCCTATTTAGTGAATAACAGTGAGGAAAATATGCCTTGATTGATTGTACTGTATTTACTGTAATGGCTGAAATATTGAAAATATATATATCACTCAATAACCATTTTACAGCAATGTGTAATATTTATATACACTCACCGGCCACTTTATTAGGTACCCCATGCTAGTAACGGGTTGGACCCCCTTTTGCCTTCAGAACTGCCTCAATTCTTCGTGGCATAGATTCAACAAGGTGCTGGAAGCATTCCTCAGGGAGTTTGGTCCATATTGACATGATGGCATCACACAGTTGCCGCAGATTTGTCGGCTGCACATCCATGATGCGAATCTCCCGTTCCACCACATCCCAAAGATGCTCTATTGGGTTGAGATCTGGTGACTGTGGAGGCCATTTTAGTACAGTGAACTCATTGTCATGTTCAAGAAACCAATTTGAAATGATTAGAGCTTTGTGACATGGTGGAAGTAGCCATCAGAGGATGGGTACATGGTGGCCATAAAGGGATGGACATGGTCAGAAACAATGCTCAGGTAGGCCGTGGCATTTAAACGATGCCCAATTGGCACTAAGGGGCCTAAAGTGTGCCAGGAAAACATCCCCCACACCATTACACCACCACCACCAGCCTGCACAGTGGTAACAAGGCATGATGGTTCCATGTTCTCATTCTGTTTACGCCAAATTCTGACTCTAACATCTGAATGTCTCAACAGAAATCGAGACTCATCAGACCAGGCAACATTTTTCCAGTCTTCAACTGTTCAATTTTGGTGAGCTCTTGCAAATTGTAGCCTCTTTTTCCTATTTGTAGTGGAGATGAGTGGTACCCGGTGGAGTCTTCTGCTGTTGTAGCCCATCCGCCTCAAGGTTGTGCGTGTTGTGGCTTCACAAATGCTTTGCTGCATACCTCGGTTGTAACGAGTGGTTATTTCAGTCACTGTTGCCCTTCTATCAGCTCGAACCAGTCTGGCCATTCTCCTCTGACCTCTGGCATCAACAAGGCATTTCCGCCCACCGAACTGCCGCTCACTGGATGTTTTTTCTTTTTCGGACCATTCTCTGTAAACCCTAGAGATGGTTGTGCGTGAAAATCCCAGTAGATTAGCAGTTTCTGAAATACTCAGACCAGCCCTTCTGGCACCAACAATCATGCCACGTTCAAAGTCACTCAAATCACCTTTCTTCCCCATACTGATGCTCGGTTTGAACTGCAGGAGATTGTCTTGACCATGTCTACATGCCTAAATGCACTGAGTTGCCGCCATGTGATTGGCTGCTTAGAAATTAAGTGTTAACGAGCAGTTGGACAGGTGTACCTAATAAAGTGGCCGGTGAGTGTATATGTATATATATATATATATATATATTATATTATTAATATTCCAGTAAAAATGTATTACTGACTAATTTTAATTTACATTTTACTTTAAAATGTTTTAATACATTTTAATTTCTCTACATTTTTAAGACAATAGAGAATTACTAGCAATTGTTACTAAATATTACAGTAAGTACAGTATTACGGCAAATACCTACATATATATATATATATATGCATGTATATACTTAAGACATATTTGCATGTATATACTATATATATATATATATTTATACATAATTTATATATTATATGTTAATATAAATGTTTTATATAAAAATAACAAATTTTTCTTAAATATATACATGCATGTGTGTATTTATATATACAAAATAATTATACACAGTACACACATATATATTATGTAAACAAACATACTTTATTTTGGATGCGATTAATCATTGCCCAGCACTAATATAAATATAAATATATATATATGTATATATATATACTCACCGGCCACTTTATTAGGTACCCCATGCTAGTAACGGGTTGGACCCCCTTTTGCCTTCAGAACTGCCTCAATTCTTCGTGGCATAGATTCAACAAGGTGCTGGAAGCATTCCTCAGGGAGTTTGGTCCATATTGACATGATGGCATCACACAGTTGCCGCAGATTTGTCGGCTGCACATCCATGATGCGAATCTCCCGTTCCACCACATCCCAAAGATGCTCTATTGGGTTGAGATCTGGTGACTGTGGAGGCCATTTTAGTACAGTGAACTCATTGTCATGTTCAAGAAACCAATTTGAAATGATTAGAGCTTTGTGACATGGTGGAAGTAGCCATCAGAGGATGGGTACATGGTGGCCATAAAGGGATGGACATGGTCAGAAACAATGCTCAGGTAGGCCGTGGCATTTAAACGATGCCCAATTGGCACTAAGGGGCCTAAAGTGTGCCAGGAAAACATCCCCCACACCATTACACCACCACCACCAGCCTGCACAGTGGTAACAAGGCATGATGGTTCCATGTTCTCATTCTGTTTACGCCAAATTCTGACTCTAACATCTGAATGTCTCAACAGAAATCGAGACTCATCAGACCAGGCAACATTTTTCCAGTCTTCAACTGTTCAATTTTGGTGAGCTCTTGCAAATTGTAGCCTCTTTTTCCTATTTGTAGTGGAGATGAGTGGTACCCGGTGGAGTCTTCTGCTGTTGTAGCCCATCCGCCTCAAGGTTGTGCGTGTTGTGGCTTCACAAATGCTTTGCTGCATACCTCGGTTGTAACGAGTGGTTATTTCAGTCACTGTTGCCCTTCTATCAGCTCGAACCAGTCTGGCCATTCTCCTCTGACCTCTGGCATCAACAAGGCATTTCCGCCCACAGAACTGCCGCTCACTGGATGTTTTTTCTTTTTCGGACCATTCTCTGTAAACCCTAGAGATGGTTGTGCGTGAAAATCCCAGTAGATTAGCAGTTTCTGAAATACTCAGACCAGCCCTTCTGGCACCAACAATCATGCCACGTTCAAAGTCACTCAAATCAACTTTCTTCCCCATACTGATGCTCGGTTTGAACTGCAGGAGATTGTCTTGACCATGTCTACATGCCTAAATGCACTGAGTTGCCGCCATGTGATTGGCTGCTTAGAAATTAAGTGTTAACGAGCAGTTGGACAGGTGTACCTAATAAAGTGGCCGGTGAGTGTATATAATGTCTATTAAGAATATTACAATGCAAATTATTGTAATTTTAATTGTACTTTTTTATTTTAAATCAAAGTCAGTACACAGATCGTAGCATAATGTATAAATACTTTACAGTTATATATACATATATATGTATATACATATACATCACACACACACATATACAGTATGTCTGTAAAAACTTGAGTGTGAGGATGCCCATAATCATATTTCCTGAAAATTTGACACTGAGGTTATTGATATGGAATATCCCTAATATTTACATCATTTCCAGATAAATGTCTGCCTCAGCAAAACCAAACATTCAATTTCACAGTTCAGGCACTTCCTGTTTGCATTTAATTACCGTGACCGGGGCTTTGCCCGTACGTCTGCCTCTGTTACTCAGACCTGACATGTTAATGCCTTGACTTTAAGATGTCAGTGTGGGTTACAGGGGTGGAGCGCTGACCCTCTGAGCTCAGGAAACCCTCTGTGATGCATGTCCACAGTGGACGGGGTTAAGGGTGTCCTGGTTTGTTTGGAGTCAGAGGAGGACAGGCCCGTCATTTTCTCTGGAAGAGGAAATGCCTGTCACGTCACCTGGGGTCTTTCTCATGACCCTCTCAGCGGGGTCAGCGTCGCTCTGTGCCAGTCAGAACCGTCCGACAGGGCCGATGAGTGCAAGAGAGCTCGAGTGTCTGTGTTTTGCCAGTGATTGTGTGAGTATGTGAAAGTGAAATTACAGGATGATTTTGTTGTAAAAGTTGGCTTGAGGTCAATGCTATCCAGAGCAACACATTTAAACTTCCAGATTTGGCCATGCTTTCTGACCTAGTTAAACGCTGAGAGGTCAGTGTAAGCGATCCTCACTGTGTGCTGCTTTCTACCAGCAATGAGTGTGAAAAAATGTGTTTATTTGTTTCCACATGGACCACACACACTGTGTATGCACTACCCCATGGGAAGGAAAATCACAAACGTGATCACTTTATAATCTCAACCCAAACAGCCTCAATGTGAATTCAAACATTTCTCATCAAAACCTTATTATCCGATTCACATTTATATACAGCCATTTTATTTTTATGTTTATTTATTTATATTATTATTATTATACTAATGTTTATTTATATTATGTGTATTATTTATATTTAACAGCATTTGTTTTATTTCACAATCCATGTAGTTTGAAAGCAGCTCTATATCCTTACTATGTCGAATGTCAAATATTGTCTAATTTATCTAGTTTTTTTTTCTCTTCTAACGAATTTAAAGAGAAAACTATTGATTTTGCTGCCTATTGATTCATTTCTGCCTCAGAGTAAAAACATACAAATGTAATTATTTCTTACAATTGTAGTATGTTTAGGAGAAAAATCTGGGACAAAGTGGATCCAGAAAGCTTGAGCAAATCACACAGCAATTCAATCCATCCCTCTCTTTTCCCTTGCTCTCTGTGAGGTGTACAGGCAAATAAATAATTAAGATGACAGGCATGGTGGGCTAAAAAGGTTCATTAAGCTCTCTGAACATGGGAGAGCATTTGTCTAGTTGTCGAGGGACAAAAGCGTGTGGAAAACTGCTGTGTTTGTGTAGGTGTGTGTGTATTTGTCATTATCTCATTTGGCCCATCCTCCTCTTTTTCTCTTTAGCCTCTCTCTCTCTCTCTCTCTCTCTCTCTCTCTCTCCAAAAAAATACACATTGTGTATAGCCCAATAGTGTCATAGGCTAGTGATACAGACACAACTAAACATAAACAAATAAAAAAGTCTAAAGTGAATATTTATATTGTTTACACACAATATAAATATTCTTTTTTGATTCAGCTTATTGAGAAAATGAAGCCTAATTTTGTTTGCTTGTGAAACAAAGTCCATTAAGCACACTGTGTTTAAAAAACATACTAATTCAATAATAAAAATGTATTAAGGCATTATTACTTTACAATTTTAAATAACATGCAATTTTATTTGCATTACAGATATAAGATACAGTTATGTTTTAAATGCCTCTCTGAGCTGATGCGATGGGAAAATGGAGAGGAGTGAGTTTGGAAAAGGCGGATTCGAACTTTTTTTATGAATTTTGTCTGGCTCCATCAGGCAATGGTGGGCGGAGTTAGTGTAAATAGCCTCTGCCAACAAGGTGGGCTGTTTGCACTTGGTGTAAATAGACACTCCGAAATTTTTATCTTAAAAATAAGATTTATTTTCGCTAAGCAAAATATGAAATACAAACATTTTTTTATAAAATGCAAGTGTCTTTTAAAATATGACCCTTGCTCTTGAAAGGCTTGATGAGATTCGAATGTACACACATACATTCTCCAGTATTCACTATGAACCCCTAATGTTGTTATATTTAGAGGCAAACTGTCGGCGTACATAAACCCAGTGAGAGCCCTACAGCAGTTGACCTCTCTGTAGAAACCAGGTTAAAGGTGAACTAAGTAACTTTTTTACCTTAACCGAACAGCTTTGGAGTCATTGTAATGTTTATATTACTGATTTCGTGTTGAATGGTGGTCGTCTCGCACCCCCCTGGTGCCTTTGAGCCGCAAAACCACCCTTGCAACTTTGGGCCGGCGGGTCCCCGACCTCAGTGTTAGGAAGTATCGTGTGATATCAGGTCTCGCGAGGTAACGAATTGCTTTACGGCAAAAAACAGATCTGACAAAATGAGCATCAAACAGAAATAACCCGGCGCCGTATACATGTGGTGTTCGAGGCGCACATACAATACAGACTGCCGACAGTTAAACAGGGCGCGCGCAGCTCTTAAAGGGGCCATACCTTATTTCCACTCTTTACAGCGTCCATCCTACTGAACAGGTACCGGTGTACAGGGGGAGGGGATCCGGCCGTGAGTGCGAGCCATCTCTGCGTGAGTGCTATTCACGACAGTACAAGTACTCCACAGCGACTCTAGGGGTCGCTGTTTGACAAAAACGGAATTCCTACTTAGTGCTGCTTTAAGTCTCATCTTCGCTATCTCTGAACTCAACTCGCCTCTTACGCTTGTAAACAAACTGCGCTGAGGGACGTTGATCTGATGTGTAGAAATCTTACCTTTGAAAAACACAAATTTGCCCTTGCTGTTCTCATAGACGGCGTCAATCTTGGGTGGCAGACCCCTCCAGAAGACATTGATGAGCATGGGGTAACCGGACATCACGGCATTATCCCTGACCCTCCAAAACCAGTGGTCCTTCACAGAGGGAAGATGATTGAAAGAGAAAAAAAATACATAAAGAAACATTAGTTGCGTGGCACGTTTCGGGGTTTACAGCTCCAGATGGATCCTATAAAGCTTTGCATGATGTGTTTTTGGAGCACAGAGTGGTCAATACAAGGCTTTAGAGGTTTTCTAAGAGGCTTTGTCTTGTAAACAACAGCTATTCTGTCATTGTTTTTTGGGGCGGAAAAGTATATTTTATTAAGTCAAACCCAAACAGGCATCTTCCTACATGGAATAGTTTTATTTGCCACGGCCACAGCTGCTCTCACTTCCAGCTTCGGAAAATCCCCTGTCACACATCTCCGGCTTTGATGTCTCCAAAGCTTGTTTAAACGTTGGTGGCAAAACAGACAATACCTCTGTCATCACTGTAACAATCGTTGCCTCCTGGGAAGTTCCTACTGTATGTAGTCCAGAAATCAAAATAATGAGGGGACACGCGTTCAAGTAAATAGAAACTGGGCAATTTCATGTTTCTTTCTCTGTTTAACAGTTCCCATCAGATGCAGGAGGCTCTTTACTTTAGTCCTATAGTGAAGAGCAAATGATGCACATTAGGTGTAATTGATGTTCATCTGTGTTTTATCACTCTGCCACAGAGGATGATGGGAAATCAAGCCTGTCGCCTCATAAACTGGATAAACATGTAGCATATTCTGCCAGGCTTTATCTATTCCCTCCAAACCTGTATGACTTTTTTGTTCTGATGAATATATATTATTTTAATTAATATAAATAATCTTAAATATGATTTAAATTATGATACACAAATATTATATATATATATTAGGGCTGTCAAACGATTAATCACGATTAATTGCATCCAAAATAAAAGTTTGTGTTTACATAATATATGTGTGTGTACTGTGTATAATTATTTTGTATATAAATGCACACATGTATATATTTAAGAAAAATATGTTATTTATATATAAAATGTTTATACATTCAGTCTATATACAGTATATACATGCAAATATTTCTTAAATACACATGCATGTGTAGGTATTTATGTATTAAAAATAATTATACACAGTACACACACATATATTATGTAAACACAAACTTTTATTTTGGATGCGATTAATCGTGATTAATCCTTTGACAGCCCTAATATATATATATATATATATATACACTCACCGGCCACTTTATTAGGTACCCCATGCTAGTAACGGGTTGGACCCCCTTTTGCCTTCAGAACTGCCTCAATTCTTCGTGGCATAGATTCAACAAGGTGCTGGAAGCATTCCTCAGGGAGTTTGGTCCATATTGACATGATGGCATCACACAGTTGCCGCAGATTTGTCGGCTGCACATCCATGATGCGAATCTCCCGTTCCACCACATCCCAAAGATGCTCTATTGGGTTGAGATCTGGTGACTGTGGAGGCCATTTTAGTACAGTGAACTCATTGTCATGTTCAAGAAACCAATTTGAAATGATTAGAGCTTTGTGACATGGTGGAAGTAGCCATCAGAGGATGGGTACATGGTGGCCATAAAGGGATGGACATGGTCAGAAACAATGCTCAGGTAGGCCGTGGCATTTAAACGATGCCCAATTGGCACTAAGGGGCCTAAAGTGTGCCAGGAAAACATCCCCCACACCATTACACCACCACCACCAGCCTGCACAGTGGTAACAAGACATGATGGTTCCATGTTCTCATTCTGTTTACGCCAAATTCTGACTCTAACATCTGAATGTCTCAACAGAAATCGAGACTCATCAGACCAGGCAACATTTTTCCAGTCTTCAACTGTTCAATTTTGGTGAGCTCTTGCAAATTGTAGCCTCTTTTTCCTATTTGTAGTGGAGATGAGTGGTACCCGGTGGAGTCTTCTGCTGTTGTAGCCCATCCTCCTCAAGGTTGTGCGTGTTGTGGCTTCACAAATGCTTTGCTGCATACCTCGGTTGTAACGAGTGGTTATTTCAGTCACTGTTGCCCTTCTATCAGCTCGAACCAGTCTGGCCATTCTCCTCTGACCTCTGGCATCAACAAGGCATTTCCGCCCACAGAACTGCCGCTCACTGGATGTTTTTTCTTTTTCGGACCATTCTCTGTAAACCCTAGAGATGGTTGTGCGTGAAAATCCCAGTAGATTAGCAGTTTCTGAAATACTCAGACCAGCCCTTCTGGCACCAACAATCATGCCACGTTCAAAGTCACTCAAATCAACTTTCTTCCCCATACTGATGCTCGGTTTGAACTGCAGGAGATTGTCTTGACCATGTCTACATGCCTAAATGCACTGAGTTGCCGCCATGTGATTGGCTGCTTAGAAATTAAGTGTTAACGAGCAGTTGGACAGGTGTACCTAATAAAGTGGCCGGTGAGTGTATATGTGTGTGTGTGTAAATAATTTACATAAAATATAATATTATTATACATTTATAATATTGTTATATTATAAACTGGATAAACGAGTAGCATTTTCTGCCAAGCTTTTCATCTCTGTTCGTTTCAAAGCTCTATGATTTTTCCCTTCTGCTGAACATAATTATTTTGTGTAGTGTAGCGCAGCTGGAACATGATATTGACCAACGTCACACCGATAGCAGCTTTTTATATGAGAATTTCTGAGATACTTTGCTGTATCTCTCAGAATACAATTTAACAGCAAGCTTGAGCATAACAAATGGTTCGAGAATGACACCTCCATTATTCTTCAAGCACAGATTTGCTTCTCCTGACTAATCTTTTTGTAGCAAATTGAAGCATGGCGTTTGACCATCAGTCTCTCTAAAGCTGAGTGTCTCTGCAGTGAGACCCAGATGACACTTCTTCAGCCGGTGAATCATGTTCCTCGCTCACAGTAGTTTCTACTCCATTACAGAGATGGCGTTCTTCAGATTTTGCCCCACTACTTTGATTCCACTTGTTCCCTCTCACAAAAATCGTGTACTAGTGTTGTTGTACTTGTAGTATTATATTTAAACACTATTCTAGTATAAATGAGCATTTAATGTTATATTTTTAATTTGAGTTCATATTTTAGTCATTTTGTTAAGTGTTTTTGTCATTTTAGTTTTTTCTTTTATTTTGTAAGTATTTCTATTTAATGTAGCTTTGTTTTTATTTTAGTTTTAGTCATTTTATTTATATATTTTTTATTTCAGCTAGTTGGAAAGACAACATTTTTTAATTAACATAGTTATTTATATTTTTTTTACTAAATTTCAGCTTAACTTAAATGAAAAACATTTCAAAAATAATATTCCTGCATAATATTCCTCGAATTGTCATTTACACACCGACCAAAGGACTGTATACTTGGTAATTAAATATTTTTTTTACTGTTCATCATTTCCAATCAAGCTGTGATTCTATGCAAAAGTGTAAAAATATTATTTAATTTTGTGTATTTAGGATGCATGGAGTGCTTGCTATGAAATTGACCCAAACAAAGCAAGATGAAAAATATGGCTATTTTATTCAAAAATGTATATAAATATCATTTCCATCACTATATTAAACGCAATACATCATTTGGGATGTGATGGAAATGATTTTGAGCTGGAAATGCATGACTTGTGGTGGATGAATAGCCTATATAGTGCTCTTTAAACTAGAGAGAGTGTGAAAAGTGTGTATCTCTAATGATACTATGAATGTGTAATCATTTTCTTTTCCATTATCTGACACTATACGCGACTGCACAAACACTCTGCCATCCGCCCACAGCAGTCAGCAGGAGTCTTTAGGGAGTGAAAGTAGTATTCTGTGTCCTTGGAGAAAATACTGTAACTGAAAATGTATTGTACAGATACTAATCAAAGGCATTTTGGTCATTAGTGGTGTTTACTAATCAGATATCACTGATGCTTTGGCTCGTAGTTTGGGTTGGGGATTTGGACAAACCCAAATGAAACTTTGGTGTGTAACTTGTCACATACTGTTTGTGCTATAGACTTGAATGATAGCTAGCAATCTAGCAATCACATACCAACATGCACACATTGCAGTGTGTGTGTGTACTACTCACTCCTCCTAATGTGTGTGCTCTAACTTGGATGGGTTAAACACAGAGGCCTTCATTTCACTTCACATTAGCAACTGCGCAGAACACAAAGACAGCATTGTGGCACAAAGTCACTTTTTTCTTTGCTTCTATATAAACTCCTACTTTTTCTCATCCTTCTCTTCTATCACAAAACCAGAGAAAGACAAACACATTTAACTGCATGGCACTATGTAATCACAGGAAGGCCCACACAGACAACAGTGACCTATGCCTCCCTGGAGGCACCACATTCATCTGCGTTTCATTATTGTTTGGCTACGAGAGAAGACACACTGTTGTGTGTGTGTTCAGCTCCATACAGCCGGAAGGAGTGAGAAATGACAGGCTACGGGACACACTGCGTATACAGTAGCTTCAGAATTAAAACACTAAATATTTAGTGTCGGCATGAAATAGAAGTTGTGATAGCCTTTTCTTCCCTATTTTGACATATATCTGAGTGAAACGGCTTCTGGAACAAGAAAAAATGTAGGGCTGGACTTGATTTTGACTGTTGGGAGTTGATTGGATGGTTGTGGTTTGCTATTGGTCGATCTCATGTGAGTGACAGGTTGCCCCGCCCTCGCCCTACTGAACACATCATCAGAGAAGAGAAGAGAAGAGATGTTCGCTGCAATTAGTTATTTTGATTGAAGATTACAAGGGCACGTGAATTTAATAAAATGATTGATGTGCACAGATAAATCCTTTATAATATGAATCGTCATTTTTGATTTCATGGTGACTTTAAGTTAGTCTTCTAGAGGTTTTCAGCCTTTCTTATTAATTAAGGGCTGCCCGAATTATTTGTTATAGTTCTTGTTACTTAATAACAATAAAAATTCTTAATAGTAAAACATTTTGGCAGTTCTGTACAGTATATTGCATCTGTGAGGGTTTTAAAATGTAGGCTTAAAATGAGGGGTCGCATGAATTTTGGAGCTTAAAAAATGGGTCACCGACCAAAAATGAATTCTGTTTTATTCTGCAAGAAAGAGTGCCTTATGACCCTCCGTACCTCATTTTTAGGAACAGTCACTCTCAGAGAGACCATTATCTGGTACAAGCTGTCTTCAATTTAAAATATCTTGAATTTATCTGTGTAACATGGAGGAGTGAAATGTTAAATATAATGTTGTAGTACATGAAGCTGCGGAAGGATTGGAGAAATTGAAGCACACGCTGTTCAATTATTAGGATCCGAGGCTCGGAACTTCTTGTGAAATCAGATTGGTTTAGTCTAGAGTCCTTGGGGGAAATTGTGTTTAAGTTATGATATAAGTTTGATATTAAATATATAAGTTTGAAACAATATGAGCGTGCAAAACTACAGTAATGACAGAATTAAATCAGTGTACTATCTTATTCAAATTGTCTTTAATTGATAATGGAATGATTAAGGGCCCAGAATTGTTGAAGGCAGATCTTTAAATGTCTCATATTTCGTAACCCTAGGGAAATCGATCACTGAAACTTTATTTGATTTCACTAATATTTTAATTTGTCTGATTTTTCAGGACGAAAGCGTACGTTACAAGAGCTCAGCATGAGGATGTGAATACGGATTCCACGCTCGTGTGGCGCGTGAGGTTTAGCCTGTTCAAATTAAGCCCACCGTAACAACCAGCCAATACTGAACACAGGGCTGCGTGCAGGGAGATGGAGGGATGAGAGATGAAAGCGCCACAAGCAGTGTGTTGCTGGGCAGGTTGAGAGCTCGCTGCTGGGAGATCGGCCACTATCTCTCTGCCGCTCACTGTTTCACAGTCTACAGATCCTTCGCCGGACTGTGAAACTCTCCTCACAGGACTGGAGACTGGACGGAAGAGATCTGTCACCGGGCACAGACTGAAACCGCATCAAACACCAGCGCTCAGGAGACGAGCAGTCAGTAGAGAGAGAGAGAGAGAGAGAGAGAGAGAGAGAGAGAGAGAGAGAGTGGAGGAGGGAACTGTTTATATTACTGGAGAAATGATAGAGAACAAAGTGTGCTTTTATTTACATTGGCAGAGATTGTACGTACAGGGTTTATAGACTTTAATTTTGACATTTAAAAAAGCTTATTCAATTTGTTTTTTATTGTATATTTATAATAAATAAAATATACAATTTATTTTATATATACATATATTGTCATGCATTATATACTTTTATTTTATTTTACATATATATATTTTTTTATTGCATTATTTTATAGACTTTCATTTTGAGCTTCTTTTTAAAATATAAGAAATAAAAGCTTATTAAATATATTTGTATTGTATATTTATTATAAGTAAATAAAAATATAAAATATATAAAATATTGTATGCATTTATTCATATATTTATCATGCATTATATAATTTATTTTATATATATATATATATATTTTATTGCATTATTTTATAGACTTTCATTTTGAGCTTCTTTTTAAAATGTAAGAAATAAAAGCTTATTAAATATATTTATATTGTATATTATAAGTAAATAAAAATATATGAAATATTGTATGCATTTATTCATATATTTATCATGCATTATATAATATTTATTATTAATATTTATTTTTTAGTGCATTATTTGATAGACTTTAGTGTACAGACTTTCACTTTGACATTTAAAAAGCTTATTTTTAAGATTTAAGAAATACACGTTTATTAAATATTATATTTCTATTGTATTTTTTTTATAAAATGTATTTATTTATTTATTCATATATTTATCATACAATTGAATATTTAATATATATTATTTGTATTGCATTATTTAAAAAGGTCAAACAAGAAAATCTACTTGATTATAATACCGATACTAAACACATTTAGTCTATTAAGATATTTAATCACCAAAATAATGCATTTGAATCATTTTCATTTGGATTTTCTCAGCAAATAAATATGATTAATTAGTCAGCATATACTTTTTTTTTTAGATTAATTATATATTATTATATTGACCTAGTAATTGTTTTCAAGTGGTTGGAAGAAATGATCAGGTATCAAATTTTTGCTGATGATTATAGGTCTGTCAGTGTATTTCTGTTGTCTACAGTTAAATATATTGTCGACCTCCTCATCTTTCAGCCAATCAGGTCTTCCGTCCACAACCGTGTGGAAGCTGACACAGATATTACTGTGGATACACCTCAGAGCTTAGATGGCAGACTTTGAGCGTTTTACAGCACAGAAATATGTTTGTGTTATTGTCTAACCGCGATGATAGACTACTCCAGCATGCGAGAGAGCGAGCGACTGAGTGAGGAAATGTAACAGCATTCATGATAGATTTAGTTTTCCCAGAGGCGTCTGCTGTGGAACTGGGAGTGGAGACCAAGTGACAAGATTAGATCCCAACAAAAAATCCTCTACAAGTTGAATAAATCTACACGTCAGTGTGAGTTTGGCTATTCAGAAAAAAAAGAAACTGTCTGTAAAGTCCTGACAAATGAATTCCATCTATTTTTAAACAGAGAAAAATACACACACAACAAAAACACTGGCTGTGTGTTAAGTGAGAGCACATCTTTGCTTTGGCCTTTAGAGACGTACACAGATCAGAGAACTATTGGGTTCAGTCTCTATTCATATGCATCTCCTCAAGATCCGGTGGTGAGATGGGATGCTATACTTTCAGAGAGAATCAACATTTTCAAAAGAGTTTCTATTGTTAATCTGTTAAAGTTTTATGTTCTGCAAACCTCTTTTGCCCCTTTTGCCCAGTTAGTGGACATCAATTCGTAACTTCTCTTTGTTTGTTCTGATTTCAGTTTATAGACTTTGACAGTCATGGATTTTGGAGTCATCACCTTTCTGAAAGCCTACTGAGAACATGAGCTACAAGTAAAAAAAGATCTTATATTCTAAAAAAGATTTCATATTACGTATATATATTTTATACATAAAAGTGTATTACATTTATATTGTAGTGTGCATATATATATATATATACACACACACAGTAAAACATTATGTAAAAAATGTATGTATTTATTTACCATTCAAAAGTAAACTATTTTATTCTATAATTTATTCATGTGACTTGAGCTGTATTTTCAGCATCATTCCTCCAGTCTTCAGTGTCACGTGATCCTTCAGAAATCATTCTAATATGAAGATTTGCTGCTCAAGAAACATTTCTTATTATTACGTTAAGTTTAAAATCAGTTGTTCTGCTTACTTTTTTGTGTGGAAACGTGATACTTTCTCATGATTCTTTAAAGAATAGAAAGTTCAAGAAAGAAAGAAAGTTCAACTTTTTATCACCAAGTTAAATGTCTTTTACTGTCACTTTTAATCAATTTAATGTATCCTGTAGTAATTTCATAAAAAAAAAAAATCATGACAATGACATGGCAATATGATAGTGATGCAAATCTTTAACAAATCTATAAATATTATTAATACTAATGTTTTGTCGATGTACTTCAATACTGCTCCTAAAGAACAACACTCGCGTAGCCTTCTGTTCCTATGGTTACTTTTGTACTCTGATTAACATGTGATTATGGTATGTAATTGCATGACGTTATTGGAAAATGCTGTTCCCTATATCGTATGTAGAACTAAACAGTTTAGTTGATCTGCTTTCCATGAGCTTCCCTTTCTCTCTTTCCACTGGTGAGGTTCAAGCTTTCATTAGTAGGGTCAGAGCCTGATAATCCACACCCTGTCATCCACACAGTGATTGCTAACGCTCAGCTCTTTTGATACACTGAACTATCACACTAGAGCTTTAAGGATTCATTGAAGGCAGCTCTCAGGTTCAGCGAGCAAAGAAAAGCTCATTGGCTCTGACTAATAGGTCACTTTCCTTCAGCACAAGCTCAAGAGAACAAAGAGAAAACACCCACACACTGAAACGTTTCCTGCGGCCGCCACGTGTGTGTGTGTGTGTTTGTCAGCTGAGGCTGCCAGCGCTCTAAACACAGTGTTGAAGCAGCAGTTATGAGACCATAAGCTTGAAATGAGATCATTTCATGTAGTCATTAAGAATCTGTGTGTATGTTTGGAGCGTTTCAGACAGATACTGTATGTCTCATTCGTTTGCTTACCTTAAACACGAACATCTCCCTCCTGAGGATGGCAAGCGTGTTGAAGCCGCCGTCACAGATGTCTGGCTTAGCGTTCGGGTGCGCTGGTTTGTCGCCGGTCGGTATTCGGGGAGGCCGCGTCTGCCTGTCGTTTTTGCGTGGATCTACGGGAGGGTGCGAGCGGACGGGTGGGATCGTGGGTAGAGGTCTCGTGGGCTGAGGAAGTTTATCTGGAGGTCCTGAAGAGAGAGAGAGAGAGAGAGAGAGAGAGAGATGAGGGTCATTAAACACAAATTTTTTCTTTTTTTGTGATTTTTTTGTCATAATTAAGGGTGTTTGTAGCCAAAAACCTCCTTATAAACAACACAATTTGGTCTCATACTAAGAAGTATTTAGGCTCTAAACTATATTAATGTGCCATGTTGCTTGTCATGGCTTGCTAATGTACTATATTACTTGCTGGAATTATTAACAATAATATATATATATATATATATATATATATATATATATTTTTTTAATTATATTATGACAACAAAAAAGATAAAGGTCTCATACATAGACATTAACATGTAAACATGAAAATAACATACATAAACGTGTGTGTGTGTGTGTGTGTGTGTGTGTGTGCATGTATTACTGGGTGTGTAAGTGGAAATAACTTAACAGAAGAAAATCTTACAGATACAACAGACATGATAAAAATGAACTAAATAGTAATAATAATAATAATAAATAATAATAATAAAAATAAAAATAAATTCCCCCCAAAAAAATTCCAAAAAAATAATAAATTAAATTTAAAAATAAAATTAAATAAAATAAATAACTAAATAAATAAATGAAAAAGAATTAAGGCTAATATGATAAAAAACTAAAAACAATAATATATTTAATGATTCATTGAATATTGTGTTTGTTTTATCATGATATGGTTTTTATAAAAGTTTTAAAGGCTAAATGCCATGTGTACAAATACCCCTGACTCACTGAACACTGCTATTAGTTTATTTAGCATATTGTAGTCTGTAGTCGCTTTTATAAAGACGTATAACAAATATTTAATAAATAATAAATAAATTAAATAAATAATAAAATCTATATGATTCACTAAATAACTTTTTGTAAAAAAAAATATGAATAATAATAAATATAATTACTTTGAAAAAAATGAATAATATTATTATAAATGTTATATTTTAAAATAATTCATTTATATATTTTTATAATATATTTTATGCTTAATTATATTTTATTATTTATATTCACTGTAAAATATAAATTGTTCAATTGTTTTTAACATTAAAAATAAATACAAAACTTTAAAAAGATTAGATTTTAATTAATGTCTCAAATGGATTTATATTTTATTATTAAATAATACATTTACTTTGATTTAAATCTAAATAAAATATTTAATAAATATAAATATTTTTTTTAAGTGTATATATTTTTCACATATTTATCATGCATTGTATTAATATATAACATTTATGATTGGATATATATGTATTTTTATTGTATGCTATTATTTTAAAAATATAAGCTATAAGCTAGCTAATAAGCTAGATAATATAGTTGACAGAATAATTGGTTTTATAATATTCATCTGGAGTGTTGGTGTAATAATGTGCTCTCGCATCAGTTATAGTCCAGCATACACGTCGATTATCTGCGGACTCATTATCACAGCTGACCCGCGCTGAAGAGTTCAAGCTGTTAGCACAATGAACTGAGACGTCAGATTTTTGGAAGAGCGACAGAACGCTAAGAGCCGACGGATCGAGAGGTCAAGAAATCCTCTGTGAGAATGAAAGGATAGGTGATTAAATAGAGAAAATAATGAATGATTTTAAGTATGAATCAGGCAGGAGGGCGGCCTGACAGGATTACCCCTCTGGAGATGTGAACGACCCACAGGACCACAGAGAGGAGTGACTGTCTGAAACCAAATCTCCTGAAATAGAGCGAGGATTACAGCCCTTCATGTTACACAACACAGGGCGGACAACACAGACAGATAGAGAGAGATAGAGATCTGCTCTGGTGAGAGTGAGGGATATTGAGAGAACATGGTTGGGAATGTGTGCGTGATACATAAGATGTGCGAGTATCTCCACCCTCTCCGGTCTCTTCCTGTGTCGGAAGGATGAAAGAGGAAGACCGAAGGGACGGATGTTGAATGGGATCCAGGAAAGAGTTATTCTGGATTGGTGTGGAGGAACAGAGGGAAATATAAGGCACTAGATTTGACATTTTATGATGAAAGTGTGTCCTACTGGTTTGGAATGACATGAGGGTGAGTAAATGATGACAGAATTTTCATTTTTGGGGTGAACTGTCTCTTTAAGGCTACATGCAACCCACCCAACAACTTTAGTCACCTCAAAATCTGCAAAACACCTCTTACATATTTTTTAATAAAATGTAAAAATGTAGTTCATTTATATTCTCTCCACAGAAAAATAAATAAAACCAGATAGAGAGATGAATCATAAACATAGAAAAAGATGACATTTTGGGCACATTATGGGCAAAACACCACTTAAAAATGTAGTTCATTTATGCTCTCTCCACAGGAAAAGAGGATAAAACCAGTGCGGTATAGCGAGATGAATCAAAAACATACAGCAGCGATTAAATGACTCTTATGAGTCAATTTGTATATCAAAAACACACAAGCTGCATCCGAAATCGAATAATTCGAAAAGGGGGGGCAGTGAACGACACAACTGACACTGGTAGGTCGCATGACAGTGACAACATGGCGGATGTAGTATGTCCTGATTTCATTCATACTACCCATATTCATACTATATAGAGCATACATGTTTAACGGTCGCGAAGTAAATTCTAATTCAAATGTAGTACCTAGTTAGTACGCGATTTTGGACGCAGCAACAAACGGCTCTCATGAGTTGTTGACTCAAACGACTCTCACGAGTCAAGATTTTGTGGTTTGATTCACAAATGAACGACTCTAATGAGCCATTTGGATGTTGGATGGGATTCAGGAAAGTGGATCTGATTTGAGCTACACACTGAGGTTTAATATGTAGCTAGTGCGTGTTTGTTGAGAAAAGGAATGTTGTGAATTTACTGTGTTCTGTGTGAATGTTACCGTAGATCTTCTGGATGCCCTGCAGATCGTCGTGTGGCAGTCTGAAGTTCTCTGTGTCCATGTACTGGTAGAAGGGGGCCATGATGGCAGTGGGGTCGTTGGAGTGCTCCAGGCCTAACGCATGTCCCAGCTCATGTACCGCCACCAGGAAGAGGTCGTTCCCTATACACACAAAATAAATACATAAAACCATTCCAATTACTGTAAAATTGATGGAATAACTTTCAGATAAAAGAACTGAATCTTTAAAACTGCTGTTAAAACTCTCTGAAGTCACTTGTTAGAGTTGCTAACATCGATAAAGTCTGATTCCTGAATCAGTGACTCTGAATCAGCCGGTTCGTTATAGTAAACCAAAAACATATATCAAGATATCAAGATGGCCCGATTCTCAAACAAATGGCTCGATTAATTTGAAGGGGGAAAAAAACACAGCACAAATGGTTTGGCTTTTCTTTTTTATGAATCTACAACATTCAGCAACCTGGCTGATATGTAAAAAAAAAAAACTTTTCAGGAACCAATCAATTATGCAATTTCTGTTGATATTTGAAATCAACCCCAACAAACACACCCCTCTCTTCATTGCTCCGCCCCCAAAATGCATGAACACGCAATGCAATGGATGTCTCTTTATCATTGCTGAAGCGAAGCAAAATAGTGTTTCGCACAAAAAAGAGTGAAGATGACGAACGAAAAACAAGGAAGCACAAAAAAATGAACATACAATACCCAAGAGAATACAAGCAAGAGTTTGTTGTTAGTCATAACAGCAGCTCCAGACAAACAATGACACTCATAACCAGTGTTACTCATGTATGGAACAGAAACAACGCAACCTCATCGTCCGTTTTCAGGCCTTCTCGTTCAGGTCTCTCCAGCGCTGGGAAGCTTTTCTAATATTAACACGGCTCCTAAAGCTGATCATTTCCCTTCTTTTTCCAGTGATATTCCTCGGAGCTTTTCTCTTTTGTAATATCTCTCAGCCATCTCTCTTTCTAGACTTTCTTCAAATCTCCCTTTTGCTCACTCTCTATCCTCCCCCATTATGAGTGGACACGCCCCCTAATGCTGATTGGCTACAAGTTTGCTGTCTGCAAAAATCACTTACTACACCTTTAAGCAGTAATAATGAGGATCTAATTATTAATATATAACACATGAGAATCATGAGAACTGTATACGTTCTAAAAGAAAGAAAATGCCACTAAGTTCACAGCAAAGACTGTATGTGTCAGAGCACATAATGATATGTCAAAATCAAAGCTGCAGTCTGTATGTGTGCGTGTGGTTGTTTGTGTGCGTAATTGTTATCCATCTCTGTTTCCACTCCAGAATAACTCATCCAGAGTAACCACAGCTACTGCCGGGATTCATTACAGTATGAACGCTGCCACTACACACCCTCACATCTAGGGTTGCCACCTATGTCTGATAAAAAACCGGGACATATCGATTACCCGCCCAACTGGGGGGGGGGTGTTTGAAGACCAAAAATGAACGGTTGAACACCAAAATTTAAATTTTAACTGTAGGCCTATACACCGAATGCTGCGCAAAAATATATCCTATATTCGCGTATTTTCAGATTTTTGTTCATGATTTTTTTTTGCCCCTTTATTAAGCATTTAAAATATTCACAAATTATATGGATAAAATGGTTTTCTAAGGCCAAACACTATATTTCTAAGGCTATAGATGATTTATAGGCTATTATAAATGTTTCTGAAAAAGTAACGAGGCATTTTAATTGTTTATTAATAAACTAGTATTTTCTAAATCGGCTGCAACATATCTCCATCTCCGCTGTAAAGCAGATGCGCCTTTAGATAAGAAATTCATATGGATTACATAATCAGACTGTATTTTCTTTTGATTCGAATTTGTTCGTTTAAAAGTGGACATTTCAAGCTTTAGCCTATGGGCTTGTTTATTTTGAGACGCGATCCAGTTCACGGAGACCATAAAAGAGCGCGACTGATTGTTTTATTTTATTTTACAAAAGCACAACGTTTTCTTGTTATTGTGAGTTTACACAAATAAAAGTAGTTGCGAATGATGTATTGTTGCGAATGATGTTTATTTTCTATGACCAGAAATGATAGAGTAGTAGGCCTATTTTAAGTTGTTTCCACTGTTGATAGAAAAACGGAAGTGCTCGCGCCCGCGCCTCGTGCAGCAAGCGCGCTCCACACTCCGATTACATGCGCTTCTTATGCGCTTCTTGAGGCAGACTCGACTCACACTAGCACACACACGCAAGGTCTCTCGCTCTCTCCCTCTCTGCCGTTGCGCGCGCTACACAGTTTGAACATACATATTCACGTAGCCCTTTGAAAACCGGGACATTCAGTGTCCCGGGAGAGTGCGTAAATTTCCCGGGACAGGTTATTAAAAAGAAGGACAATCCCGGTAAAACCGGGACAGGTGGCAACCCTACTCACATCAAACATCCACGCTGAGCATCTTCCCTCTGTGCACAAATGGAAAACCCCACCCTGCTCGCCCCAAGAAGCTTTGGAAGTGGGACTTTACGCCACGGGCCAGAAAACAGTCCAAACACTAAAGTAAGGCAGACGTTATGCGATGGAAAACGCCACATCAGCTGTTCATCCTTTCTCTTCTCCTTCAGTTCTGACTCGCTCTCTTTTATCTGCTGAAACAAATGATTATGACACATTTTTATTCAGTCAACTTGTGTTTTATTTAAAGAAGCAGTTCAAATGATGCGTTTTGCATTCCCGGATATTTCGTCTATTTCAGCGCACGGAACGTTGCCCCGGAGAATTCGGCGGCATCAAAGCCGATGGCTGCAAAACACGCCAAAATACACAGTTGACCAAATGCTACTGAGCGAACAAAACACATGAGACCAGTTACATTTCTGTCATCAAAGGGAAATATTAGTTTGGTAGGATTTTAGAAGGAAACAAACTGTATACATCACACAGAAGCGTTTTTAAGAATTTATGAGTTTTAAGAATTTATTAACGGGGTGGTGTAGAATGTAATCGAGAGAGACTTTGTAGTATGATAGAAAGTGGGCCTCACTGTAACTGAACTGTCTGAAATTAGAGCGATCAGTTTTTCAAAACTTTGTAGCATAAATTCACCGTTTATGCTACGGACGTGAATGGCATTTCAGATCTTAGACTTTTAAGGAGAAATTTGAGACTTGGGTGAGCTCTTTTGTAATAAAGGGATAGTTCAGTCAAAAAGAAATCAGCCCTATGGATTTTAAATGACATGAAGGTGAGTAAATGATGACATTTTGGGTGAATTGTCCCTTTAAGGCAGAGTGTATCCACCCAGCAACCACATAGCAAAATGCTAACAACCACTCAACTGCTAATCAACTCCTGGGCCAGCCCAAAAATGGCAAAACATGACTGTTTTAAACAATAATGTTTTATAAAATGTAAAATTTAGTTCATTTATGATCTATCCACGGGGATAAAGGGTAAAACCTGGATAGAAAAATTTATCAAAATCATAGCACAAAACCGGTATATTTGTTAAGAGTTCATTTGAGAATTAAAAGCACACAGCACGGCAAGTGTAGTTTGATTTGTGAACAAATGACTCTTATGAGCCGATTCGTTTCAATGACTCAAAAACAGACGAGTGCGAGACAGTATAAATAAAAAAATAAAGCAAGATCAGTATAATTCCCGAACAAATGACTCTTATCAGTCAATTTGTGAATCAAAAACACATATCACGGCAAGTGTAGTTTGATTTGTGAACAAATGACTCTTATGAGCAGATTCGTTTCAATGACTCAAAAACAGACTAGAGTGTGAGACAAAGATATGAATAAAAAATAAAGCAAGTGACTCTCATCAGTCAATTTGTGAATCAAAAACACACATCACGGCCAGTGTAGTTTGATTTGTGACTGAATAGCCCCTATGAGCCGGTTCGTTTTAGTGAATCAGAAACAAAATCAGGAAGTGCAATCATTGTAGTTTGATTCACAAATGAACAAACAAATATCTCAAAATGAACAAATGTTAATCAAAATGAACAAATGATTCTTATGAGCCAGTTCTTTTCAGTGAATCAAAACAAACAAATACCCTATAAACGAATAGAAGAAACAAAGTCCTATGAGTTTTGAATGTAAATGATAAGATTTTTGGGTGAACTATCCCTTTAAGGCAGGGTGTATCTGCCCAGTAACCACATAGCAAGGCCCTGTCCCAAATGGAACCCTAAGTCCTCACAGTTTTCCTACACTTTCGTGACGTAATGCCACTTTGACTAGTATGCTGTGGATCTCGCTTTAGTGCGCTCGCAAGCACCCTTCGGAAACCTAAAATGACAAAAGGGACACCCTACTGACTTGTGGACTTAGTGGACAACAAGCATGTGGTCCACAAGACTGCAAGAGCACATGTCTGCTTTTTACATAAAATATAAACATGTATTTGAATTTTTGCTCCCTCTACAGAGAGAAGGATAAAACCAGTGGGGGGTAGATCTGGTGATGTGTGGAGTGGAGTGAAGTGTGCGTGTCATACAGCATCAGCCGACTCGAGCTCAGGCTCACTTCTCCTAAGATGCTCCTGCTGAAGTTCAATCAGGAACAGCTGTGTTTGAACCATCACATCTCTTATGTAAGACCAGAGACCCTGATTAATTAGCAGGCAGCTGAAAGGCAAGTTCACTCATCAAAAAGAGAAGAAAAGCAAAGTGAGGGAAAACAAAAACGGACATGAAAAGAATAAAACATTTGAATGCCATAGTACTTTGATATATACAGTGGTACTGAATGATTACCATATTCATATACCATGGTATTTACATGGTACTCAATGGTAAATGTAAAAAACAACAACATTGTAATACCATGGTAATGAAGGATTATATGCATATGTTCCATGATATTTATTTATATGGTACTCTAATTTACTAAAAGGACCACATGTGATTACCATGGTAAATGTCCAATAAAACATGGTAATACTATAGAACACTGATACCATGGTACTGAATGATTACCCTATTTATTTGCATAGTTCTTCAAAGAATATTTTGGTTTTACGACAGTAAACCCTTCAAAAATTCACCAAGGTACCACCCTATTTTTTATTATTATTTTTTTTTTACTATTTACCATAGTAGGACCACCTTAAAAGTACCTTGGAGTATCATGTAAA